GCACACGTGTGTTTGTCCTGGATATTTTTACATTCTTGAACCAACTTTGGTAAATTATATCAGTAAGGCGTAAGATGTTTAAAGAAATTGTCGCTATTAAATATTTTAATTATTATTTTTTTCAAGGAAACTGGTCTCTTGTCGTATTGAGAATGTGATTTGAATTTAGCTATAGAACCGTTTAATCAGATTTCGTCTCTTTGCCAGGTCGTCCACAACTACTGGCAACGGCATGATATCAAAGGGGCCCTTAGTGCAATGGAGAAAATGGCTGATCATTGCGTAAGTGTTGTATTTCTGATTCTGTATGTGGGAAGAAAAAGTAGTTTATATTTCCCCTATTTCACCAATATCTGTACTAATGTAATGTAAACTTCAAATTTTCAATGCAAAATGAAATCTCAATCTCATATTCTTCATAATGTTCTTCGGAATGCAGGTGCTTGCTGATGTAATGTGCCTTCTAGCAGAAAAAACTGATATTGTCACATTAGATGTTTGCACACGTCTTTTGTCACTGCTCTCAGGACTACTTGATAGTGAACTGGATAGGTAAACGAAATTTCTACATATTCTTTTAACACCTCTGACATTTGTATCCATTGAATACTGTTTGTAGAGGATATTGTAGCTGAGGTGATAATTAGCTCAACAAGCTGGTTTCCTGGCAAAGCTGATTATCGTTTGATGAGATTTAGATATTCTATGATAAATATTGTTCTAGTGAACTAGAAGCTCCAGTTTGATTCCTAACCTGTATATTTTATATACCTATCCCATTTGCCTTGTGAAATATCAGATATTCAAATCTGGCGACAACATTCCCAAGATAAGCCACGTGTCTATATATCTAATAAGAAATACCTTAGAAGAGGTTAAGTTCCTTACTTTTCTAGCCGTGGCATCTTCCTTAATTTGTTTAGGGCTACTCTCATATTTTCGCTGGTAAAGAATCATTTAGTTTACCATTGGCAACTTTTTTGGTTTACAGTTTGGGGTAATTGATGCAGTAATATACCATGGTGATTCTAGCTTGACTAACGACCCTTTTTTCCCCCAGTTGTTAAAAACCAATACTAGCTGGTTCCTTCCATGTCAAATCTAATGAACTGTTCATCTTTAGGCATAAAGATATTTCTCTGGAGATGCTGATTAAACTGGTCAGAGTATTTGGTTCGGTGATCTATTCTTCATTGTCTGCCCAATCGTCTGTTGGTGTGGATATTGAGGCAGAGCAAAGGTTTGATTGATTTTTCCTATATTACGCAGTTGATTTTATATTTTGCCCCTGACTTCTATTTACTTTCATCAAAAGGCTGGAACGTTGCAACATGTGCTTTGTGGAACTCGAGAAAGTCAAGCGTTGCCTGCCGCTCCTTTCCAGGTGTGTGTGCTTCCCATCATTTACTCGTCATTTGGGACAAAGATTACATTGATTCGATGCCTGTTTGGGTTGTGTTTTTTTTGCAGAAGAGGGGGTTCAATTGCCAAGTCTGCACTGGAGCTGAGTCTAGCACTTAAAGAAGTTCAGTGAATGAACGAGAGACATACTATGGATACTGCTTCTAGAGACTGCAGATTGGGAGATGGTAGTCCCGTGTGTATATTAGTATCAAATGGGATTGTTATCTACTAATTCATTCATTTTTAACTGAAAGTTGATAGCTGAGGGACAATCCGACTCGCTTATTGCCATTCAACAATTTCGCACCTAAAGGTGGCCGATTGGAGGTGAATCTGTCTCACCCCGTTCTTGTCTAACCCATCCCAAATATCTACTTGTTGATTTGTAACTGTTGGTTTCTTCAAAATGGTGTTAATTGGTGTTATTAATTATGTAACAACACAAATGTGTCCATAGCTTTTTCGAATGATTGAGGTGTCGTGTTATAGTTGCATATGTGCTAGAGTTTAAAGCACAGAGCAATGGAATTTAGTTGTAGTTTGATCGAGTGATGAAAAGTTCGGAGGAATCAAAACAGGCATTGTATTCTATTTCTTAAAATGCTTTTTGTTAGATATTATGAGCCTGTTTGGGAGTAATTTTGAGAATTGATTTTTTGATCGTTAGAAGAAAATTGAAGTCCACCTATAAGAGAAGAAGTCAAATAAAACGGTTGGAATGGTGAAATAACGGTTAAAAATATCACTCCCAAATGGGCTCTATGTCCTGTTTCACATCCATTATTTTCGAACTCTTTTTTCCATGTGGCTGTAATTTGTGGGAGGGGGGCCATTTTGAAGTGATGTTCGTCACCCTATTGATCTTCAACTTTGCCATAGGAACCAAATTTTGTCATTGTCTTCGGCTTTTATACGCGTGGTCTCAAGTTGTTCTGTCCTTTGGTGTTTGGTTGTTATTAATTTATTTTTTATTCACACATTTATAAAAATTCATTAGTTATAGGTTCTGTTTGGGAGTGATTTTGAGAATTGATTTTGTGATCGTTAGGAGAAAAGTGGGGATCATTTGTGAGAGAATAAGTTAAACTTTACGGTTGGAATAGTGAAATAACGGTTAAAAAATTAATTATTTGGAGTGAAAAATCACTCTTATACAAAAAGATAATTTTTCATCATTGATCTCTGACACTTTTCCCATTAGATATCAACAATTTCTTCGATTTTGAGATCCTATTTGCACTTCTTGTAAAATTTGATTTAAATTTAAATCATTTTGAATTTATAAGAAAACATGAAAAATCATGATTTTTGAGAATGGACTGATTTTTGTATCATAATTTGAAAATCTCATCCAACCTAACTCCTTTTTCACATTGTCAGTGGATGAAAATTTTTTAGTTGACAACCATAATGCAATGGATCTTCCATAATCACTAAGCTAATTTACCATCACGCTAAATTAAAATAAAAAATATTTAGTTTTACCTTTTAATCATATATCATTGTCATGACATTTGATTTATCGTTTTCATTTTTAGGGTGCAACGTAGCAATTGTATAGAAGAAGATCAGTTATGGGAGGACTGTAACTCAAGCAATAATGAAATATAATAGCGTGATGAAATTCAATATTAAATTGAAGTTTAATGACTTAATTAAGAAATTTAAGTTTAAACACTCAATTAAAACCTAATATTAAATATTTATATTATAGGGAGGATTGACCGAAAATAAGATCGTTAGACCACTTCTGTCTAACAATATCGGAGATAATTCAATGAGATTGATTTTTAAAAGTTAATTATGAGTAAAACGTTTGTAGAAGTAATAACTAGGCAATAAGTAAACTCAAATTAGGTGGGAAAAAACTAGGCAATAAGGAAAAGGAAAACCAAAGAAGTATTGGACGAAAATACGGAAAACGGACGAGTGCCTGGATGATTCGAAAGGTTAGCAATAGGACTATTTATTAAATAACGATACTACAAAATGCGATAACTTGAAATGTTAAATGAGAAACAAAGTAAGAAATGTCGTGGTATTACGTTTTGAATGATTCTAGAATTAAGTACTATAATTTGAATCAACTATCTATCTTATATACTTTTCTCTATTACTAGTCTTTGACACACGCGTTGCTCGAGTTTTGTATTTATTGTATTTTTATTAGCATCAAAATTGTAAATTTTTCAAAATTGGTTGAAGATTCGAAGTATTTGGTGAAATCTAATCGTTTAGTTCATTACATTATCGTATGATGCATGGAGATTTCTTTTTTGTTTTTTATTATTTTCCTCATTTTTTTATTTTTTATTTGTTTTGTTTGTATTATAAATATTTTTTTTCAATTTAAAATCCTTTTTAATTCTTTTTTCTTTATAAAAAAATTAGTTTTTTCAATTTTAATTAAAAAATATTTATATGTTATTTATTTAATTTTCATAACATTCTTTTGTTTAATTTGTTTTGTTTTTATTATATATTTTTTGAAAAATGTTTTAAAAAAAATTCTTCATATTATAAATAATTTTTGTCTGATTTAAAATTCTTTTCGTTCTATGATTCAAATCATTTTTTCTTCATATTATAAAAAAACTAAATGATTTAACAAATTAAAGATATTAGCGTCAAAATTGTAGATTTTTCAAAATTGGTTGAAGATTTGAAGTATTTGGTGATAAAATGAAAAGAATTTGTTGTTATAAAGAAGAAAAAAATTACAGGCAAAAAAAAAAAAGTTAATATAAAGTTTTTTAATTAGATTGAAATAATTAAAAAAATTTGTTTAATTAAAATTTAAAAAATGATAAAATGAAACGAATTTTAAATCTAAAAATAAATTATTTATAATAGGAAGTAATTTTTTTTAAATATAATAAAAATAGAACAAATTAAAAAAAAAAGTTATGAGAATTAAATAAAGAATATATAAATATTATTTAATTAAAATTAAATTTTATCATAACAAAAAAAAAATTAAACAGAATTCACTCTCCTTTCAAATGAGAGAATTCAAACTCTCAAAAGGAGATTCTCTTTGTTTCTCTTCGTGGATGGAGGAGAAAAAAAATTTCCTTATCTATTTTTTTAAATTTTTTTCATATTATAAATAATTTTTTTCAATTTAAAATTGTTTTTAATTCTTTTTTCTTTATGATTAAACTTAATTTTTCAATTTTAATTAAATAATATTTATATATTCTTTATTTAATTTTTGTAACTTTGTTTTCTTATATATTTTTTGAAAATTGTTTTGAAATTTCTTTTTTATTCATATTATAAATGAATAATTTTTTATTCGATTTACAATTCTTTTCATTTTATGATACAACGTAATTTGTTCAATTTTAGTTAAATAATATTTATTTTTAATTATACTTATTTCAATTTAACTAAAAAAAACTTTATAATAACCTTTTTTCTTTTTTTAAATATTTGCCTGCCATTCTTTTTTTTTCTTTAATTTGTTAAATTATTTAATTTCTTTAATTCTTAAAAAATTAGAACCTCAAATTAAAAATAATCTACAGCTAAAACAAATTATTCCAAAAGACAAAAATGACCTACCTAGTAAGAGGAAGAGGATGAAGATAGGGTAGAGTGGAGGGCCACTCCACTGACATTGTAGTTGTAATATTTTCACATAATCCACTTATTATCACACCTTAAAAGACAACAAAAATCATGCACCAACACCAAAGACAATGTATTAAATATACAAAAAAAAGAACATACCTAAACTCCAATTTCTTATAAGATTTCACGGAGCTATTTGTTAAATCTCACAAATAACAAAAATCAAGATTTATCAGTAAAACATACAGCAGAAGAAACTGAAGGTTTAAAGATTGGGTATACAAGTAATTGTCTCAATTGTGCGTAAAGTTATTGGGTATTTTTGGAACAATCGAGAGATGGAGATTGAAATTAAGGTTAAAGGCCGAGAGAAATCAATATCGTAGCAATGCAGAGTAAAAGTGAAATTAGGGTTAAATGCAAAAAAAAAAAAAGTGTTTTAAATGGAAAAAATTAAGAAGAATTTTAAATTGGAAAAAATATTTATTCAAAAAAATATAATAAAAACAAAATAAAAGAAAGTTACAAAAATTAAATAAATAATATATAAATATTATTTAGTTAAATGTGAAAAATTAAGTTCTATTATGAAGAGAAAAGCGTTAAAAGGAATTTTAAACTGAAAAGAAAAATTTATTTTTATAATGTAAAAAAAAAATTATATATATCTCCATGCATTGTCTCCGTGCATAGACAATGCCCCCGTGCACAGAGACTTAGATTTAAGATTTTTTTTTTTGTATAGTTTTACGTTATAAATAATTTTTTTTTTCAATTCAAAATTCTTTTTAATTCTCTTCTCTTCAAATTTTTTACTTATAAGTAACTTTTTGTAAAATATTTTCCGTCTTATATTATCTTTACTTTTTAATTTTTTAATATAAAAGTGATTTTTTTCTTATATCCCTACTATATATATATATAAGTGGCTGAACACGAAGTGGTGGGAGGAATGGAAATTGCGTGTTGCAATATTTTCTTATTGTATAACAAAATATATATCAAGTAAGGCAAACAAAGTCGTTTTGCTCCCCAACTTAAAAAAAAAGCTACAGTGAGACAAAATGGATTAAATCACCGTTACTTTCAACAATAACTTCACATTCTCCTTTACACGAACAAAATGTTAAATCTCACAAAAAACACAAAAATCAAGATTTACCAGTAAAATATATAACAGAAGAAATTAAAAGTTTAAAGATTGGGTATACAGGCAATCGTCTCAATTGTGCGTGAAGTTGTTGGATATTTTTGAAACAATCGAGAGAGAGAGATTGAAATTAAGATTAAAGGCCGAGAGAAATCAGTATCGTAGCAACATAGAGTAAGAGTGAAATTAGGGTTAAATGCAAAAAATAATGTGTTTTAAACGAAAAGAATTAAGAAGAATTTTAAATCGAAAAAAATATTTATTCAAAAAAAGACAATAAAAGAAATTTATGAAAATTAAATAAAGAATATATAAATATTATTTAGTTAAAATTGAAAAATTAAGTTTTATTATGAAGAGAACGAATTGAAAGGAATTTTAAATTGAAAAAAAAAATATTTTATAATGTAAAAAAAATATATTATATATGCCTCCATACATGGAGACAATTGTCTTCATGCACGGAGACTTAGATATTTTTTTTCCTCTCCATGTACGTAGACTTAGATTATTATTATTTTTTTTGTGCCGTGTAGTTGTACGTCATAAATAATTTTTTTCAATTTAAAATTCTTTTTAATTATTTTCTCTTTAAATTTTTTACTTATAAGTAACTTTTTGTAAAATATTTTATGTCTTATATTATTTTTATTTTTTAATATAAAAGTGATTTTTTTCTTATATCCCTACTATATATATATATAACAGTGGTTGAACACGAAGTGGTGGGAGGAATAGAAATTGCGTGTTGCAATATTTTCTTACTATATAATAAAATATATATCAAGCAAGACAAACGATGTCGTTTTGCTCCCCTACTTAAAAAAAAAAAGTTATAGTAAGACAAAATGGATTAAATCATTGTTGCTTTATACAGTAATTTCACATTCTCAT